GAATGTGGAACCTGAAGATTTATACAGTAAATCATACAACATAGCTGCACTTATGCCAGCAAAAATGGACTGATTTGTGAAAAAGAAAACTATCTTCTCTGATTCAGTAAAACTACTAGGATCAGTTGCCAGGGTTTCTTGCACAGCCACAAAGTAGAGTATTTTAAGAGATTAAAAAATTATATCACTAGCACTTTCTCCATTCTTTGCAATCTTATTTATAATTCTCTTTTAAAATAAACTACTTTGAGGACTGGTGTATTTAGAGGTGTATTTAAAGGAAAACATGATAAATAATTTGACATAACATTCATTTATTTAGCTAGAGGTAATTTCCATCAGAGGCCATTAAAGAGACAATATATTATCTACCTTAATAAGTCATTAGTAATATTATAAAACACAAATAGAAATGCTTTGGATAAAGTATCAGAAAAAAAATTTTAAGTAATAAGCTGTAAAATGTTGTGCTTGAATATATAACTCAGATTATTTTGTTAACTCAAGTTGGAATCAGCTAATACATTTTAAACTGACCACACAATACCATCTCTAAACTAGGTTTTTTAAGAATTATTGTCAACTCTCTTTACAATTCTTCCTAAAACATTTCCTTCGGAGACAATTATATATAGGGAAATAATTATTCTCTTTCTTTTTTCCTCAAATAGAGAGTCTGTGAGCTTCTTTTAAGGATGCTGATTATGTTGTGTTTTGCATCTGTAGCATCTGAGACATAAGCAGTGCCCAGTTTGTGTCTGATGAATAAATGAACAGACTGATGTACAATGAACCAATGATGACTTCTGGCTTTATATAAAAGCGACCCTGCTCCATGCTCTTATGCCACCCTTCCTCATTAAATCCCATACCTTTAAAAGCAAGAAAAGTGATGTTATATCCTGTGGACTTCTCAGACATCTAAATAACCAGTTACCCCAAAACTGAAAAGGCTTTAAAAATGGCATATTAAAAAGAGAAGTTAATCCTACCCTTCAGTTCATTTCAATAAACAGTGGTGATAAAACATGAGTAAGCATAAACACTGCCCTCAGGACATCCACAGTCTAATGGGGGAGATGTTGTTATTAGTTACCATCAGAGTCGGCACCCAATCACAGCGACCTTATGTATGACAGAACGAGGCAGTCCTGCGCCACCTTCGTAATTGCTGGTGTATTTGAGTCCACTGTTTTGGCTATTGTGTTAATCCATCTCATTGTGTCCCTTGTTTTCAATGACCTTCTACTTTACCAATCATGATATCCTTTTCTAGCAACTGGTCTTTCCTGATGATCTGTCCAAAGTTAAGCGAGACAAAGTCTCACCATCCTTCCTTCTAAGGAGCATTCTGGTTGTGCTTTTTCTCAGACTTCTGGAACTCCATGGTTTATTCAATATTTTTCACCAACACCACAGTTCAAACGCATCGATTCTTCTGTCTTCCTTTTTCACTGTCCAGTTTTCACATGCATATGAGGTGACTGAAAAGACCGTGGCTTGGGTCAGGCGCACCTTAGTCATTAAAATGACATGAACTTAAACTGACATAAACATAAACAAATAAGAATATAGGTGGCAATTCATCCCTTGGTTCTTGCTATTACTCTTCTCCTCTAAAACTCTGGATTTAGGTTTATTCATTCAAGCACCAATTGCTATGAGTGTGAAGGTTCTGAGCAACCAATACCTTGCCTTTACCCCAAGCATTGGCCAAGGGTGCCAGGCAAACCACTCGTACTCTCTCCTCTTCTCCTGGTCTCTCTGCTCAGCCCTGTAGATCCCACCAACTTAATCATCCAGTGCCATGGCTGCACTTGATATCTGGGATGAAAGTGGCTTCCTTTAAAGCCCCTGTGTTATGGGCTTCTAATAGCAGTCTTCTCCATCAATGGCTACGGCTTTCCGCCACTTCACTCTTATAATGAGCTAATAACCAGAGACCAGAAGCTCTGTTGCTAATCATTCAAAGTAAACAAATGTTTACAATGAGTCACAGCCTCTCTGGCCTAACTGTTGACTCTTCTAAAGAGGTGGCTCTGTGGTCTAGCTGCTTGCCAGGCACACAGCTGGCGCTGCTGGGCATCCTCCTAATCCATTCCCCTGGCAGCCTAAAGAAACAAAGTACCCTGGAGTGGGTCACTAATACATCAACCACAGAGACCTGACATTCATAACACTTGGCACCACCTCCCCCTTTCCATAGACAAAGGGATAAGATTCACAAGTGTCACTAAAATGGAAAAATCAAGTCATCTTAAGCATCAACCAGATGAAACAGGCTTGATTATACATGCATCAGGGCACAGCTGGTAGAGTTTCCTCCTCCTATTCACAAGGAGAAAGAACAGCTTCCAGGGAAACATTATGTATTTTTCCCTACCACTTGAAAAAGACAAAGTGATTTGGTGTTTTTTCCTTTAATGAAAACATACAAGAAACCACAGTGAAATGACCACCAGGTTAAGTTTCTGGAACAGAACTGAAACCATGGTTTTGCAAACATCACTCTATTTTCTTTAAATAAGCAAATAACCAACAGCCAACAACACAATAAAGATGGTGTGAAAATGATGAGAGGACTTTGGTGGCATAATTTTAAGGCACCTTTGTCTGGAAAAAATAGATAAAATTAGTCTGAAACTGACTATTACAAGCATCTCAAGTTTCACCATAAGTTTTACAGGAACCCATAAATTTAGGGGAAAAATTGGTAAGTAGGTGACTGGCAAAAAATTGTATTTCAGGATCATCATTTAAGCTGCAACTGTGACTGCTTAAATAAGATTACAAACCACAGAGCTCACCGATTTATAGCACAATGCTCTTAGTGGGTATTTGTCTATGTATTTATAATTTCAACTGGATCCAGAGAGGTCTTTTCTTATTTGCTTCTGAAATAAACAGTGATGTATCAAATTTAGAATTACATTCCAAAATGTTTGCTGAAATTTCAAAAAGGTCTATGTCAAAGTGAATATTTTAAAAAATGAAAGTTTGTAACTATGCACACTGTTACTTCTCTTTATTCTTCACGGTGTTGGAAACTCCGAGCCCAAAATAACTTGATATACAACGGACTAAATGTGTGAATGGTACAGCAAGGCTAGTTACTTTAGTTACATTTGTGACCCTGTCCTTTCTCATGAGAAAGCCTTGGAACATCGAGGACTCATTCTGGAGATACAGATGCTAGCCACGCCCCACCTCCTATCAATCTCCCCACATTCCTTCCACCCAGCCCCACTTCCCCACTCCTTGTACAAGCACACCAGGGCCCTTGCACTGGCTGTTCCCTCGGCCAGAAACCACCTTCCCTACAACATCCCTCCAGCTCCTTCATGACTCAGGCCATTCTTTCCTAAGTCAGTTTCTCAGTGAGACCCTCCCTGACCACCCCATCAACACTTTCCTATCTCCCTTCCTTGCTTTATTTTTTCTCCTAATCAATCATTGCTAACATTGTATATATATTTTATATTTTGCTAATTGTTTATCTCTCCTCAACCAAAACGTAAGCTCTATGAGGGAAGAGATTTGGGCTTGTTTTACTCACTACCATATTGTTGTTGTTGTTAGGTGCCATTTATTCGATTTTTGACTCATAGCAGCCCCATGTGACAGAGTAGAACTGTCCCAGTAGGGTTTGCTAGGCTGTAATCTTCACAGCAGCAGATTGCCAGGTCTTTCTCCTGTGGAGCTGCTGGGTGGGTTCAACCCGCCAATCTTTCAGTTAGCAGTTGAGCACTTAACCATTGTGCCACCAGGGCTCCATATTACCAGTGCCTAAAGGAGTGCAGTGCCGCCACCACCCATCTGTCAGTTTGTTGCCCTGTAGTGGACTGCATGTTGCGATGAGGCTGGAAGCTATGCCACCAGTATTTCAAGTATCAGCAGGCTCACCCATTGTGGATAGGTTTGAACAGCACTTCTAGATTAAGAAAGACTAGGAAGAAAGGCCTGGCAATCTACTTCTGAAAAGCAGCCAATAAAAACCCTATGGATCACAACAGAATATTGTCCAATACAGCATTGGAAGATGAATCCCCTATGTTGGAGTGCACTCAAAATACAGAGTGGCCACAACAAAAGACTCGAGCATACCAACGATCCTGAAGATGGCAATGTTTATTTTGTTGAATATGGGGTCACCATGAGGAATCTTGGTGGCGCAGTGGTTAACAGCTCGGCTGCTATCCAAAAGATCAGCAGTTTGAATCTACCAGCTGCTCCTTGGAAACTCTATGGGGCAGTAGTTCTACTCTGTCCTATAAGGCCACTATGAGCCAGAATCTACTCAATGGCAACAGGTTTGGTTTGGTTTTGGTTTTGGTTTTGGTTTGAGGTCACCACGATTCAGAGCCAACTTGACAGCAATTACCAACAACAATGACAGAGTGCCAAGCATATAGTAGGTGCTCATTAAATATTTCCTGAATAAATGAATGACTCTACACCAAGATTCTCAGACTGGTCTCCAGTTTGCCTTTTTGATGAGCTGTAAAGTTTGCTAACTCCAGTTTGAGGTGATTTTGCCTAGCCAAAAGTTCCTAATAGAGTCTTACCTTCCTCTTACTTGTAGTTTTCTTCTTCATTCCTGTATTCATTATTATAGGTCTTTTTAAAATGGTACTTTTACTGCAAACCACCTGAAATCACCATGAAAGTAAGCAGAGTGTGAAGAAATCAGTAAGTACAATCAAAATCATGATTGCCATGACATGTTTTCTCTCTCTTAGTTTTGCATGATTTTGTAATCTTTGAATCACATTATTACAAGCTCACTGAGAGGTGGCTGGAAAACTGATGTGGAAAACAGCCCATGTGTATTTCTGATCGCATTTATAAAAAAGAGATTATGCCCATGGACTGAATCCGTTCTATTTCTGACGGTAATTCGAGAAGGTGCTGTTTAAAAGTTACGCATACCAATCCTTTAATAGAATTATAGTTGGCTGGTTATTTTATAGAGCATGTCCCTTCCTATCCACCTCATGATACCCAAAATTAACTGCTGAGACTTTGCTGGCATTTGACAAATTTATATTTAAACAAAAAATCCAATTCTATGCGAACGTTTTTTAAGCCTTTTCTTCCAACCTTTAAAGCAAATATTCAAATAGTTTAAAATTTAAAAAAAAAAAAAATGAGTAAGGGGTCAGACTACCCATACCAGATACTGGAATACATACATGCTTACAATTTTTTTTAAAGCACAGTTCTGGCACAAGAATATACAAGCAGACAAATGGAAAATAATACCCCAAGGGAAAAAAAAAAATTCCTACTATATAGAAGAGGTTAATGTATGAAAAAGGAAGGCCAAGTGGGTAGAATTTAGGTTCTCTGATCCTCAAAATCATCCCCAACCCTAAACCATCTCAAAATTAATCAGACTAATGGAATGGATAAGCCAGTACAAAGTCCCCCTCTGTTTTAACCATAGTCAAACACCACATAACGACAGAGAACTATAATCATTAACCAGGCCTGCTAAAAGTGACTATTTGTGGTGGGGTGGGGGGAAAACTATTTAAATCTTCTTTTACACCATAACTCAAAATAAATTCCAGATGGGCAAGGCTGGGCTCAGCTCCACCTTCAGACTGGACTAGGATGTCCCTCTCCTGGCAGGGAAGGATATGAGACAAGCATCTGGCTTGGTCAAACAGCCACAATGGGGGTGTTGGGAGAGGGCAGAGTTCCCTGGGTGGTGTAAGTTTGTCACTGTGGTTTCTGCTCAGCTTTTTTAAAACTGCCTCCATAAAATTGTTTAGGAAAAAGATGCCTGCACAAACCATAATTATGTATTTTAGAATATGTCTTAGATCTCTGACAAGAGAATCCTCCCTAAACCGTCTATGACAGTTTAAATTTTTTAACCTTCCCATTTCCAAGCATAATTATGGATGCATATTAAACTGCTGAGGTTGTTCTATATCTCATTTCTCTTCTCTGCAGAAATTAATCTTTTCATATCCTTCAAGAAAAATGTGTGGCCCCACTTTTCCTAATGATCATCTTTTCTCTAGCTATGGCTGTCCTCTCTCTAAATCGATATGGTTTGTTCAGGCAGAAACTTCCAACACAAACTCGGACAATCCAACCAGTGGCCACCAGCCAGAGGTCCAACTCAGCCCAGACTCTCCCTAATGATCCTACCCACATTCCAGTAACTAATATATGGATTTATTTTAAAGGCTGTGTTTTCTCCTTGCTATATATAACCATATTCTTTAAAAATACTTTTCCCTCCTTTGAAGCAGCCTTTTCAGAAGACTCATTCATAATTTCTGTGCAATTTTATATCGTATTCATTATGAACAATAGACCACTTCACTATGGAACTAGGATCCAGTGTAGACAACTTAAATACCCAAATGTCAAATAATGTTTCCGTAACAATACATTCATCCCAATGCAACAGCAGTATTGAATACTCTATAAAAACAGTAAATGGTGTATATATGGAGCAACAAACAAGACATTAATTCAGTTTATTAGACCCTTAATATCTATATAAAAATAAGCTTTAACCTTTGATATAAATCCAATGGATGTTAGAATACTCAATACTTTAAAAAGTGCATAAATCATAGTATTCCTTTATTTCATTGGTCAATAAGCAGTAACCATAAAAGCAAAGAAACGATATGTTGCACAACAAATAAGGCATGGTATTTATAGTGCTGTGATTTATAAAACATGGATTTGTGGTTATGCATGTGTATATTTTTTTCAGTGTAACTATGGGCATTGGAATGATTATCAGGCTGAAGACAGAAGATCATAATTCTACAGAAAGTCTTGTTAATGGGCAGAATCTACTGCCCTCTACCCAAATCACCCCAAATAACATACAAAATAAGAAAATAGGGTCTTGCTATCCAAGTGGAACTTCAAGACAAGTCATCTTGACTGTCACACAAACAGATTTCCCTTCTAAATCTGTCCCATGTAAAGATTCTGGGGCAGCACTGGAAAGGACCAAACATTAGCGTCAAACTTTGCCTTTAAAAAAAAAAACTTTATTTCATTTACTTACCTCTTAACATTTTCAGACAAACTCCTGATAACCTTTTTCTAAGCTACAGTGAGTGTATATAACCTTCTTATTATGGAGGCTGCAGAAGACAGAAGATGGTGTCTCAGTAAAGAAGACCAAACAAACAAAAAAAGTCATCTCTTGGGAGGTAGGAAAAAAGAATCTGTGAGTTCCAATAATTGCTTGAGCTCAAAATCACCTAGTCTTGAATACTGACAGTCTGCACGAGGACCACAACTTCCCGCCGGATTTAACAGATGCAGTGAGCACCATCTGGATGAAAAATGGCACCCATCCAGCCATTCCAGCAGAGTCTGGGTACCAAGCTCAGAAAAACAAAAACATCCAACTGGCAATTTGCTAAAAAAAGAGACTTACCCACATAAAAACCTCTCTTATTCTTTTTTTTTCTCCCCCTCGAAAGTTTTTCTGTATAACCCCACCAAGTTTTGGTTCTTAAGGGCTTTTTTTCTTAAGCACCAGCCTCAATTAGGACAAGATATGAAATTGCAAAAAGACTGCAACAAGAGTAAGGAAACCAAGATCACAATCCCAGCCCTGCTATGTGACTTTGGACACATTTTGTAGCCTATCTAGGCTACAATTTTTTCTCTGTGTAATGAATGAATTGGACGAAATGATCCCAAGTCTGCATAGTTTACATCAACTTAAAACACAACATTACACTGGGGCTTTATCTCAAAAATACACTAAATAAAATAGTCCAGAAATCCTAATGCCACTTCCCAAACTACTAATATTCTGATAAACTGCTACAGTTAGTTAGTTCCTGCCTCCTCTTCATGGGCATGAGAAGACAAAAATGCCCTGGTATGGGCCATTTGATGGTCATCCACTATTGGTAAAGTGTAACAGCACATCCATCTTCTGTAAAGTACTGGAAATGAGATCTGCAGACTGAAATGGAAAAATCAATTTCATTGTTTACAAAAAGAATTAATGAATGCCAATTCATCTTTCAACCATGAATTATTTTTTCTGAGGACTTTTTCCTGACACTTCAGCTCCTAATCCTTCCCAACAGTTACCCACTTCTCTGTGCTCTCAGTTTCATACAGATGTCTACTCTTGCATTTGTCACGTACTTACTGTTTCAGTGTCATTTATTTCATCAGTGTTCTTACATTAAAACTCTCTTATGTCCTTATCCTGGGACTATGTCTATGAAAGAGTCATAATTCTTTCAGCCTCGAGCCTAAAAAATACATATCTGAAATGTCCAGAAACAAGTCTAGTTTCAGGCAAAGACAGATTCAGTTGTTCAAATGGAAGTTAAGAATCCATCTCTTGTCATCTCTCAATTCACTTTTCTTCATGTTGGCTTTATAAACTAGCAGATACCCCTCTGTGACGGTCATACAGTAGTATTTCCAGGCTACTCCCGTTTGCTGTTTTTTTCCCCCCACTAATTGCACGTTATCTCTCTCATGACCTTTTTTGGGTCCGTATCCATCTCTGAACAGATCACTGTGGCTCTAGAGATATGATCCTCATTGGCCAAGCTGGTGGGAGTGTGTGTTGTAAGGTTCACCTATAGACAGAGAGTGTGGGAGAAGGCTTCCACAAAGAACAAACCAAGTCCCACTTCCAGAAGAACAAAAAGTATAGGCAAGGAAGGCAAAAACAACAGATGTCCACTACAACCTGGCTGTTTGCTTAATTACATGTAATTACATTTGTAAGACTTTGTCCTCTCATAGACTGATTGTATTACTCTCTACTGCACAAATAGATTCTGATAAATATATCATGGTTAGTTTGAGACAAAGGATTTGGGGTGGGGGGAGCACAAATGGATGAATGCAAAGAGTGAATAGCTATCTTTCTAGATTACTCTGAAAGTTGAAACTAAGATTCTGCTTTTAAGACTGTGGGTCCTACCTCACACCATATACAAAAATTAAATCAAAATGAATCAAAGAGCTAAGAGATAAAATTATAAAACTCTTAGAAGAAAACATAGATGTAAATCTGCACTACTTTGGATTAGGCAGTGGTTTCTTAGATATGTCACCAAAATCGCAAGCAACACAAGAAAAAAATACAACAGATAAACTGGGTATTTTCAAAATTAAAAACTCTTGTGCTTCAAAGGATACCATCAAGAAAATAAAAAGACAATCCATAGGATGGGAGAAAACATTTGCATTTCATATATCTGATAACATACTTGTGCCAAGAATATAAAGAACTCTTACAACTCAACAATAAAAAGACAAATAGTCCAATTTAAAAATAGGCAAAGATTTGAATAGATATCTCTCTAAAGATATAAGCACATCAAAAGATGTTCAACATCATTGGTCATTAAAGAAATGGAAATCAAAAACACAATGAGATATCACTTCACACCCATTAGGATGGCTACATCAAAAAGACAGACAATAACAGATATTGGTAAGGATGTGCAGAAATTGGAACGCTCGTACACTATTGTTGGGAATGTAAAATGGTGAGGCTGCTTTGTATAACAGTTTGGCAGTTCCTCAAAGAGTTACCAAAACCATATGACTCAGCAATTCCACTCTTAGGACTATACTCAAGAGAAATGAATGTATGTCCACACAAAAACTTGTACAGGTTGTCCCTGATTTACAATGGGGTTCTGTTCCAAGGACTTCGTCGTAAGTCGGTTCTGACATAAGTCAAATATCTTTTTTTTTTTTAGTTTTCATTATTATCACCTTTTATTATCAGTATCTTTATAATTCCAATCTTTGTCTTTGCGGTATGGCATTAGAATGGTAACAACAGAAAATTATGTGCAGCAACACTGTATGTAGTACATATTACTAACGATAAGACATACAAAAGTAAGTAACAAATGGACGGTCTTAAGTGTGGTTCATCATAACTGGAATACGTTGTAGGTCAGGGACTACGGTACATGAATGTTCACAGCGGCTCTATTCACAACAGCCAAAAGATAGGAACAATCCAAATGTCCATCAACTGACGAATGCATAAATAAAATGAAGTACATCCATACAATCAAATATTATTTGTTGATAAAAAGGAAGTACTGATACTTCCTAAAACATGGATAAATCTTGATAAACTATGCTAAGTGAAAGAAGCAAATCATAAAAGGTCACAGTGTCCAAAATAGGCAAATCCATGTTGTTGTTGTTGTGTGCCATCAAGTCAATTCCAACACAGTGATCCTATAGAACTGAGTAGAACTGCCCAATAGAGTTTCCTAGGCTCTAATCTTTACAGGAGCAGATCACCAGGTCTTTTGTCCCGTGAAGCCCTTGGTGGGTTTGAATTGCCAACCGTTCGGTTAGCAGCTGAGTGCTTTAACCACTACACCACCAGGGCTCCTTGGCAAATCCACAGAAACAGAAATTAGTAATTGCCAAGGGCTGGGTGAAGGAGGGAATGAAGAGTGAATGCTAGTGGGTATGGAGTTTCTTTTTGAGGTGATGAAAATAGTCTGGAATTACATAGTGGTGATGGTTGCACAACTCTGTGAATAGAAAAAAAGCCACAGAATTGTACACTTTAGGATGAATAAAATCTATGGTATGTGAATTTTATCTCAATAAAAAACAAAGTTTGAATATGGATGGATATTAGACATTATCAAGGAATTATTATAATTTTGATAGGTGCAATGGAGGTTATATAAGAAAACGTCCCCCTTTGTGAAGATGCACCATAGAGTGTGTAAGAGTGAAATGTCGTGTTGTCTTGGATATGCTTTAAAACAGTTCAGCAGAAAAGTGGGGGATGTGAGAAGTAAGGAAAGAATATGACAAAATCATAGTAACTGTTGAATCTGGGTAACAGGTATATGTGGGTTCAGCATATTCTTTTCTTTACTCTTGCGTGCATTTGAAACTTTTCAAATAAAAAAAAATTGTTGAAAGAGATTCTGATACAAATTTGCATTTCTTGTGATTGGACTATGTGGCAATTAGGCCAGTCATGGCTTTAAATAGTCTCCACTAATAATTATGTAAAAATTGAAATACTGAAACCAAGTTGCAGAATCCATTCAAAGAAACAGACAAACTCTGCCTGGTATTTCCATTTCTTCTAGGATATTCCTTCCTAAAATATTTTCTCTTAGTACCTGTCTTAGTCATCTAGTGCTGCTACAACAGAAACACCACAAGTGGATGGTTTTAACGAAGAGAAGTTTATTTCCTTACAGTAAAGTAGGCTAAAGTCCAAATTCAAGGTGTCAGCTCCAGGGGAAGGCTTTCTCTCTCTCGGCCTTCCCATCAGCGTTCCCCCGGACTAGGAGCTTCTTGGCGCAGGGACCCCGGTCCAAAGAACGCGCTCTGCTCCCGGCACTGCTTTCTTGATGGTATGAGGTCCCCCTGTCTCACTGCTCACTTCTGTTTTTTGTATCTCAAGAGATTCCCTCAGGACACAATCCAGTCTTGTAGATCAGGTCCTGCCTTACTAACACAACTGCCACCCATCCTCCCTCATTAACATCATAGAGGCAGGTTTACAACATACAGGAAAATCACACAGTACCGGGAATCATGGCCTAGCCAAATTGATACACACATTTTTTGGGGGACATAATGCAAACCATGACAGTACCCAAACAATGTTTTAAGGCAACATTTTGCCTATCTACATTTTGTTAAACAGACATTCCTCAAGGTATTAATAGATGTTCTCAAACAAAAAGTTCCATCGTCAAATGTGTTTGAGAAACACTGGATGAAACAAAGTTAATGTGTTTACTACCCCGAATTTACTCTATCCAGTTTCTGAGTGTGGAGCCCTGGTAACACAACAAACAGTTAAGTGCTGCACCGCTAAGGGAAAGGTTGGTGGTTCAAACCTACCCAGCCGTTCCACAGGAGAGAGACCTGGCAACCTGCTTCCGGAAAGATTACAGCCAACAAAACCCTATGGGGTAGTTCCACTCTGTCACACTGGGGTCGCTATGACTGCAAACAGACTTGATGGCACCTACTAACAACAACAATTTCTGAGTATTTACTAATTCTCAAAGCCCCTGCTATGCTCATGTGCACTGTGATTATCATCCAAAAGGGCTACACTATGCCTTATTTGGGAAACTCATGTGAATCCCTTTATATCTACAATGTATCAATTTACGTCATGAAATACTTGAGCCTTAGGTTTTGCAACCCTGGCAGAGCAAGAGAATCACTTCCAGAGCCTGATATAAATACAATTTTTGTCTGTTTTTTGAAATCCGTCCTGAACCAGAGTTTTCTGAAAAGCTGGGTTAGCGATAAGGAAGTTTTCGCTTAAGAAGAGATATCTGAGCTAAACCTGGAAATAAGAGAAACTTACCAGCCAATGTACG